TAAGAAGCAGTCAGACTAACGTTTTCCTCAAGCTTCCAGTCTAGGTTACCCTAAGTACCTACAGCATTTCTCCACCCCAAAATTTCATATACAATCTTGTATTACAATTGAAGCAAAAAAAGATGAATTCTCCTTTGCACATTAGGGCATAAAGGAAAACCTGCCCTTAGTTAACTAAACCAAAGGTTAAAGCTCACAGGCTTTTTGTACAGTCTCTTTTATACAACAGCTCACATTCCACTGAAGTACATTAAAAAAATCTACAAATTATAAATCCTCATGGAACAGAATGCAGATATTACTATTAAAATCTGCACTGCACTCCAAAGAGAATCCTTATAAAATACTGAGTACTATCACAGCTACTTAACAGTGCTCATCTCCGTATGTTGCATAGTAATCAATCAAAATCTACAATGTCAAACACCTAGTTATCTTTCCTGGTACATTCCTATTTGACATTTACTGATAACTCTGAATTTTACACGGTTACTTTTTCCTATTACAATCTTTTCAATCTACATTCTCCTATCTACAGTCCACTAGAATATTTTCAGATAAGGTAATCCTTCTGTTTATCTTTAAAAAATAAAAAAAATAGAGAAGGCCCAACACATCCCAGACGTACTGTTTTGCTCAATTTATTCTCATCTTCCATTTATTTGACAGACCTGAATTTATCCAAAATAAGATCCCATTTCTCATCTATTCATACACAACTTGAGAAATGGCAGTACTTCATTTATTTTCTCTGATTAAATACCGTGCCCTACTAAATGCTGCTAACTTAAGTCCTCTCCTAAGAAGTATTTAAGCAGTGCTAAGGCCAACATGTTGGCTTATCTCCTGCTATGTTCAAAGCTTCACCAAAACCTAAATAGGCCAAACCCCACTAGCATCTCACTTAAACTTCATAACAAGACAAATGAAAGAAAACACTTATCTTTCTTTCCCTCAGAATATGTTTTGCTAAAAGAAATAATCGGTAATTTGACAGTGGCTGAAAACTTGAACAACATCTAACTCTGTTTCTGTAATCATGATTCTTATTATGGTTCATTTAAATTAAGTATATAACCTTGATCTTCCACCATGCTGAACTACTGCTGATAATTAAAGGAAATGTTCATTTCACTTATTTAAATAAGAATTAAAACAAATCAACCAAACAACAAAGGAACAACTCTCCCAGTGCACTGCTTCTTATTAGGAATGCAAAACCCAGTCTAGGGTTTGGGAGATCAGAAATGGGAGAATAATCACAGAACGGACTGAGTTGGAAGGGACCTCAAGGACATCCAAGCTCCAAGCCTCCTGCTGCAGGTAGGGCCACCAATCTCCACATTTAATTCTAGACCAGGCTGCTGTAACAGTGGTGATTTGCTGATTAGTTTATGATTTCGAGTAGTTTTAATCTAACTACTTTTATGCTTACAGAGGATGGATTTTTTTCCTTGCTGCCAGAAGAGTTCCACAGGAAAAAGACTGGTTTTGTGGTTCCATTTCTAGTGCAAGTATTTTATTTATCAAGTTGCAATTGTGAGCTTGCTGCTTAGGAAAGAAAAGACAGATCTACTCAAAAATGCAAGTATAAAAAAAAAATCAATTGAAAGGAAATAATTTTTAAGGGAAGGGTACAGTATACCTTGTTTATACAACTAGATATTAAGAGAAAATAAGCTTTTTCTCCTCCAGATCCATTATCTACTATTTCAGCAAAATAATCTTTTATCTTTAGAAGACATAAAGAAGTGCTTTTATACAATCTCATAAAATACCCAACTGAAGATTAAGTGTAAACTGGTAGTGCAAGCATCTTAGTAACTCAGACTGCATTACCAGAAATGATCCCATGCAAAGCTATGTAAAAACTCTCATTACAGAAATTCTTACAACTAAGGTTGGTGTAAGTGAAGCTGGGGGCTACCCTGAGCTGTGCTGTGGGCTGGTTTTGTCCTGGGTTGTGTGTTTTGTTTTTTTTTCCCCCTTTTTCCCCCCCATGAGTCTGAAAATTAAGCCATTAAATCAAGTGTAGTGTGTAACTCAAGCACACTAGAGATGAGCAGCAGCTGCCACAGAAGGTACCTGTTAACAACTGGCCATTTCTATACAACCATACGTGCCATGGGCAGAAGCAGCCCTGGAATTTGACAGAAACCATGCAAACAAGACTGACCTCTAGGCTCAAAACAGAGCACTGCTGCTAGCGACGAATGCCATCACTATGAAGAGCACAGACCATTCATATTACTTTTGTACTTTCCTTCCCCTTAAAAATCACTGGAAATTGAACACAGTAAAGGGAGGCATATACACTGGACAGTAAGAAGAGGGCTGTTGAAGTAATCTTCTCACATACTTTTGGTTCTTCATACACTGTTTGTTTAAAAGAAGTGTTTAACCCACACAGAGTATGTCAACTGTGACAGCCCTAAAAGCCCACAGCCCTCCAGACACAGGACTGAGAACTGCAGACAAGATGGCAGTGGTGGAGATGTTGTTTTCTTCCCACTCCCAGAGAAGGAAACGATAGTTAGAATGCACCAAGCTAATAAATTGAATACCCTTGCAAGAAGAAATCCAGCAGGGTTTTGAACAAAAGTTAAACATTTTTTCTTTAAAATAGTTATTTTCTGAAGGCTTTGATCCACCACAATGGAACACCAGCAGTCTTCATCTAATAAAATAAACCAAAAAAAAAAAAAAAAAAACACAAAGAAAACATACAAAAAACCTCCACAAACTTAGCAAGCATGCTGATACATTTACATCAGGCCCCTGAATAACACAGAAGATACTGGAGGACACAACCGAGGGAAACGAGTGTCAAGATTTGTGAACTGACAGCAAGTCTTTGTCATTTACATAAAGAAGGATAAAAACAGTAAAAAGAAGCAGAGCCGGGAAGCTGGACAAACAACACAGAAGCAGGCAGTTGACAAGTTACTCAAAGAAGTACTGGTTCACACCCCAAGGCAAAAGCAGAGCCTAAGAGAGACTGAAAGCCAGAGATCCCAGGAAGACCCAGAAGCAATTCCCAACCCAGAACTCCCAGATAAGGAGAACTTATTATACCATGTAAAGGTTGACTATCTCCCAAACCACAGGGACAAAGAAATAAAGCCCAGACTTGCTTAAGTAATAATACACTGTGCATTCTACCTGTAGTAGTTGCATTTTCTCCCATCCCAGGGCCCTGAGATGGGTTCTCTAACAAGGAGGAATTGGTGGAAATCCTCTTAAGCAACTACTTCACTGAAAGAACACACCGCCCCTCACACCACCACAGGGCTAAGATGGCTTGTCCTAGCACTGGTCTCAACTGAAACAAAACCCCCAGAGCCGTAAGTTCACTAAAAAAAGGAAGCAAAAATAATTAACCAGCCCTACTTACATAAAACTACAGCGAGGGATTTTGCAACTGAGAGTTTTGGAATTTTCACAGAGGACCTAATTCTGAGGAACTACTTCTGTAACCTTTTCCTCATAAACTGCAGTACAGATTGAGAGCTCCTGGACTAACATTCATCAATGCCAACTGTACTGCTAAGAAATTATTCTTGAATTATTTGAAGATGGGCTGTGAAGACTCTTTAAAACAAATACATGAACTTTTACATTAAGTGTACAAATACATTTATAATAGTGAACAAAAATATTGGGGGTATTACCTATTTAGATGACATAGGTACCTATAAAGAACACTATCAAGACATTCAGACTTGTTAAAAAGGGAAAACAGAAGTGCAAAACAGAAAAACCAAAACCAATCTCTCACTGTACTTTGTTTCTTGTTGGTTATCACATAGAGAAGCACTTCTGTTTTTCTCATTTTAATTTTCACTTAGAACATTTTTCATTTTTTTTAGAATTCAGAGATACAGCCTCTTAGAAAAATTCACTTCATAAGTAGGTAGCACAGGCCTTAAGCGTGTAAAAACTGAAATAGAGACACAGTCAGAAAACAACCTTTCAAATCAAAAAATATGATAATCAGCTGACTTGCTGCAAACCAAGTAAAATAATGTGCTAACTTGTTCAGTGTGGAAAAGGGGGAATTAGCTTGGAATTCTGAGCTTGACATACCTAAAAAATATTTTTTTTCTGTGCTTTGAAAAAAACGCAACAGAATTAAAAATGTTGTTATTAAACTCCAAGTAAAATGTTTGTGTTACGCAAATCTCAACTTACAAGCAGCTTCCTTAATAATACTGCCACTGAATTAAATAGCTTAAGAATTGTTAGGTGTGTAACAAAAAATTAGAAGAGAGAATAAAGACTCAAAAATTATTTATTTACTTGAAAAGCAGCTTTACCTTTTTTATGGAAATCAATAAACTGAAGTTACTTCTTTTCCTCTTGAGGCCACCCCAAGCAATATAGCCTTCTCTCCCCGCAGGACACACTGGGATAGTTTGTTACTGTATGTAATTACATGAATTCCCAGAGCATATGTACAGCATAATTAAATTACAGGGTGTCTAGTGAGCACTGTGTCCAACAGTTGCAGACACCACAAATGAAGAATGTAAAAGGCACTTCTCTTTCTTTATATTTTCCTTTCACAACATTTTTAATAGAATTTCTATGATATGCAGTAATTCATAAAAATAAAATTATTGTTGTGTTTAGAATCTGAGTAAAATGCCCACTCAAATAAAGAAAATTTACACTGATCCTGAGAGCAATGAATTCCTAGTATCCTCATTTGATCTTGAATTTGTCAGGATGGACAAGTCCAGTAAATGAAAACCTAAGTAGGTAGGAAAAAAGATGCATTTCTCTTTCTGAAGCATTCTGAACCAATTCTGCTGGGCTGGAAAAGACCGAAGTAGATTCTTTAAAGGAAAGTGCTGGGACAAATTGCTTCCTCTACAAAAACACTTTCCTGCAGAGATCTAGAAAGGTATTTTTCAAGCATAGATGGAAGCACTTCAGTCAATAATACCAACACATCTCAGCACAAAACAACATACAAAATTGAAGTTATGACTACTCACTGAAAGGGGAGATCAGCAGTGCTCTCTGTTCTGCTGTTTTGCAATCGTACTGGGTGATGTCTACAGCTCACCGGGTGAGAAACTTCTTAATCCACTTGACAATGAAAAGCAAAAAGAATCTGTCAGAGAAAAAAGAAAAAAAAATGTTATAATATCCAGAAAAATGAATTGTTTAACACTAGACATAAGCAAAGACTTGAAAAGTATTTTGGTACTCTCACAGCTTTTAAATTGCCATGAAGAGTATCACTATCTAGCCATGTTGGGATGTGAAAATTCAATTTCTAGAAGCACCTTCTCCTTATGACTCTCCATCCTCCCTGCCTCAGATCTAGGCAGACGCCCACCCAAATAGTTTCCTTAGCCATTTAACTTACACACTGCTAAATCTAATAGATGTGAACTGATTATGTCCTCTCTACTCGATTCCCAAAGGAAGAAAAAGCACACTAACCCTGACAGTAACCCCCCAAACCTAGATCAATGCACTTTTTTCTCCAGATGTCCCGACTATGAGAAGTTTAGTTTATAGTAATCTTAGACGCCACAACTCCACAGCCCACTTGTTGCCTTCCCTAGCAATTTATGCTTCTCTTTTTCAGTCTGTAGTCCCTTATCCTGCCTGTTGGCTCCCACATTTTCTTCAGAAAATTCAATATCCTCAGTGCTGTTCAAAAGAAGAAATTACCCAGAACGTCCAGAGCTTCAGCAACATATTTATGAAACTACTAGTCAGAGTCACAGCTACCAGTAAGATTACATGGAAAACCAGGTTCTATCCTTCACCACAAATTGAAGGAACAAGATCCAAGTAAGAACTACTTCAATGAAGAAACGACTGGTCAAGCAAAGTAGTAAATTCAAACAGCTGATACCCACCCACTGAAAAAAAAATAAAATCCCCACTGGCTGGAGGTGGAAACAGCAAACCATCAACACTAAAGCCAAACATTTCACAAATACGTAAAAAACACATAAAGACAAGCTAATCTTTCCAACTGATGTGTGTGAAATTTTCTTTTAACACTGTGAGTACTTAACAATGCTAGCTTATCTGCCGCTTTCACTGAATTGAAATTAATGGTACTTGGTTTTGGTTAAAAAAGAAGCTTGATGTACCAGCACTGCTTAACTGCTGAGGTCTGTCTCTCTGGAAGTGAAAAGGCATAACTGTACTTCAGGCCAACAGCTTTCCATAAATCATCAATTATTTAAATCAGACAAAGAATTTGATACGCATAGTACAGTAGTATCATGTAAAATCTTTAAGACCAGAATCACGGCACAAGATCATCTAAGATATGAATCAATGTGAAACAAACAGTGCTTTTAATTTGCAAATGCAAAAGCTGAAATATAGATAACCTTACTAATTAGGGATTCGAAGGCAGTCTCTACATCCATCATCTCCTTATTTTCACTGGTATGCTTACTTTTCTTAGTGCAGTCCCACGTACCCATGTCTCAATGCAAATTATACTGTTATTATGAAGCTACTGCTCTGGTAAGTCTGTGCTATTTTGAGTATTTACTTATAATTGCTAATTCATTTATACTTTCCTTGTTCGAGTATCACTATTTCAGTGACTGAAGGTTTCGGAAAGGAAACGTTCCTAAGAACAACATTAGGTTATACTGAGATGCAAACACTGATAATTCACACACACGCACACACAAAAAAAATAAAGAACTTGCAAATGCTAAAACCTCCTTTCATCAGATTTACAAAAAGAATTCCAACCAGACGTATGGTATCATCTTCCAACCCTCACAAAAGACCACATTATACAGGCTTTCAAACCTTGTTACGAAGAGGTGCTGCCCATCAGCAAGGCACATGGCTGTGATACCTGCAGCACGTGGCTGCAGGAAGCCCCACATCACATCAAACCTCTCACACAGAAAGGGACTGGAAAGGACAGAATTCCCGTTCTATTTTTCTTTTATTATAGCTTGTCACCATGAGTGCCTAGAAATGCCATCTGACAAGCTGAAATGCTTCTCTAAATCCTAACTAATAATGTCTTATCCTCAATGGTCCTTTCAGGAAGAGGACAAGCGAGAAACATTTGTGTACATCTACCAATGGGTGCAAATAAACACAGCACAGCAAAACAAGTAACAAAAGGTAGAAAGGATGGAACTGTTAGTTACAGAAGGAGAAGTCTGAAATTAAGGCTAAATCTTTTGAGTGTGTGTGTGTTTGTGGGGAGGTGGGGGCAGGGAGGGAGTACTATATAAATAAGGTATTATACATACACCAGTATTAAAAAAAAAATGCTGAAATTAAGAAAAAGTAATTTTCCTCTGTAATTGTACTGGGAGGTGCAGGTGTTGGTAGCATGAGCTGCAGAGCCTCTGTGAGAGGAGGCTGGGGCTGCACACACTGAAGACAGACAGCTCTAGAGTGTTCTGGGTGGCTCTATTTACACTGTGGCATGCAGAAGAAATATTTACTGTACTTCATCCACTTCTCTGTCATGTACATTCCAGCCAGTATGAGTAGTGCTAGTTCCCACAATAACAGTCCACCTCATATGAGCATACAGGAGGTTAACTGAAGAGTTTTTTTAATTACTTTGAGTGTAATTGCCATAGGCCGCAAGACCTGATGATCCTTACATAATAACCCAGCAGTGCTACTGAGATGGCACCTGTAGCAATTGGGCAAACCAGTATAATTAAAAAAAAAAAAAACAACAACAAAACAGGCATTAAAACAGGTGTGATGATGGAAAGACCAGCACAATAGAAAGGTGCTATAAGGGAAGGAAAAACCTTCACTCACCCGTACCAGAAGATTCTATGTTTGCAGGGGAAAGCTTTGCCTAGGAAGGATCTCCAACCAGAGATCCTCCCCCAGTGGCACTCAGCCCTTAAATGAGGTCTAAGAGAGGCGCAGCCAGGCTGCAGCCCTTCCTACCACACAGCTGAATTGCCTTCACCTGTGCTCCCAGGGCTGACAGGGTCCTTTCCCCAGGTGCTCAATCAGTGGGTCAGGCCAGCACTCAGCAGTTCCCATACAGCACCTATCAGCAATCAGAGTTGGCACACTTCATACTGTCACTCTTCTTGCCCTTATTTAATTAATTGAGCTGTATTTCTAAGATGCAGGTTTTAGATTAAACACACAATGACAATAGAAAGGAAAGACCGTGGCTGCAAGAACAAAAAAAGGCAACTGCAAATTCTACACAAGGTGCATTTGGTTGTTACAGACTTCGTGTTGTAGCACTGCATTTATGTCAGTCAATAGACTACTAAGCACAGGTTCTCACCCGCTGAGCACCACCAAGCACTTCCCCGCTCCTCCGGACAGCCAGGCTCGCTCCAGCTGCTCCCTGCCTCCCATGCTGGCTCCATCTGCACAGCACCTGGGCACCAACTGTTCCATAACAGGACGGCACGTGGCACACAGAGATTGAAGACACTGTCTGCTAACACCGCGTGCTCAATTTTCATAGCATTTAGTATTATGCGGCACTTTGTATGCTACAGAACAGCTCTAAGAGCCTTCAACCGTAGCTGAGAATCATAAATGTTTTTATGAATTAAAATACTCAGTACCTAAGGAACAAGGGAGTGTTTACTGTGTACACCACAGCCTATTTACCACAGCATTTGTGCTCCTGCCTGTGGAGACACAGCCTGGACAGGGGCTGGCCTGCTTTGCAGAAGCAGTGAACACGATCAAGTTCTAGATCACTCTGCTTTCCTTTGTCTCTATTCCTCACATTGTAGGTTTTACCAGCTCTTCAATCTCTGTGTGTTGTCACAGAAACACACGTTCCCTCAGATAATGCTGTGGGGAGTGCACAGGGCAGAATTGCCCTGACCAGCCTTTGATGACCAATCCCTTGCACTGCAGAGCAGGGCCACTTGCTTGTAAGATCACCCCTTCCTGAATCCTGTACTTCACTCACTTTATCCCAGCAGCAAAAGAAAACAAGTAAACAAACAACCCATGATCTTACCAACAACTCTGCAAGTCTAATTCATTCCTAGAAAGCATCTGCTCAAAACACTGAATAAAGCAAGCACCGTGAGGAAGACGACTTTATCATCATCCAAATTCACCCAGAAGCCGTGGCAAATTCAAGTTACAGACTTTGCCCATACTTTGAATCCCTCACTTTTTATCCAGCTTTTTGTTCTTTTTTGGCAACTTCCACAATTACTTCTAAAGTTTCAACCAAGACAGACTGAGGCCTGCAGAGTCTACTGATAAGTAAAAATGTTACGCAATATTTACAAAATGTCATCTACAACTTGGTGTACACTGAAAGTAAATTGACATAGCAAACTTTATATTCTGTAGACAGTGTTACAATCCTTAAGAAATGCATATAACCACATGCTTTATTAATTACCAGATATTTAAATAAATGAAATAGTGCCTAGAATTTGTATTACATTTTGTATTTAACAAAAATGCTAATTAATCAAAGCAGTATTGATCAAAACCTCGTGCAGTTGATAGATAATAAGACTTTCAAGATACGCTATTCCTCATCCTGATATAAACACACATAACAGAATTAGGAGCCTAAGTCTTACACCCAATTTAAAAAAAAATAAAAATATGATTTCTTCTTCCTATTAGCCTGCCAAAGATATGAAAGACCGTGGTAAATTAGCAAATGAAGATTAACTGACTTTTTTGCTAATGAATAATCATAAAAAATAAATAAGCTTTTAAGAGCTGTGAAATTATAAACAAGTGTTTCAATATATTAGAACTGCAGAACAAAAAAAAAAAAAAAGAAAAAAAAAAGAAAAAAATATTTCTCAACATAAGTTTTGTACCACTTGGTAACTGACATCCAAACAGACTTCTGTTAAAAAAAAAAAAAAATCTTTTTTTCTATCAAATAGTAGACAGCCGTTTAAATCTTAAAGAGAAATACTGACCAAAGTCAGTAAGAATGGGAATCCAGTACTTGACAGTTACAGAAAAGATCATGGCAAAAATCTAATAGTACACTGCTCACAAGAGGCACTGAATGAAAACCACATCTGAATCACAGCAGAATACAAAACATAATACACCAGAGAAGTAGCTTTGCTCACATCTTCAGGGACACGGCAACCTTACTCCAAGTGAAAAGAAAAGCAATAAAACTGAAAGATGTCTGCTGAAACACGTACCCAGAAGAGCATGGAGGAAGAACACAGAAGCTGAAGTGAAGCACTATGGCTGCCCAAAACACCAAGAAGGCCATCATTCCACAAATAAATTAAAAATGCTTCAAGGGAGTAACACTAAATGTTGGTGCTTAACAGGCAGCAGCTGTAGTACCATCGCTGCAGGAAGAAGCCTGTTTTAGCATATGGATCGGGAGAACTGAAATAATAAAGGAAAATTATGCTTAGTGGAAAAAAATAAATAAATTCACCACCACTGCTTGGTGTATTATCCATGCTCTGTATTTAGTTACAAAACAGTGCCTTAGACAGACTACAGCCCTCTGGATTACTGATCTCTAAGACTGTGTTCTGTTCTAAGGTATGACAAGACAATCCGAATGCTACGAGAGGAGAAACATGAAAGTAAAACACCTAAAGACTCCAGGGGAGAAATTACTACACAAAGACCAAAAGAAATGGATATATATATATTTATGTATAAATATAGCTATAGCTAAATATAAAATTCCCTTTTCAGGAATGTGCAAGTGTCAGAAACCACCAGAGAGAGCTATGTTTGCATCAGTCCTTGCTTTCCTTACAGTCTCCTTCCACCTCTAGGCAAACAGGAAAGGCTAACCTTTGTTGATATCTATGAGCATTTGTGGTAAAGGCTTTTCCATTTGCAAAGACAAGAGGATATATTTTCACTCTTCCTAGACTGTCCAATCCCCGGATATTAAGTTTGCACATTAAACTATGTATTTAGTTATTTCGTTAGACCCGCAGTATGTTATGACTTACAGGGCCTTAAGACATGCTATGCCCCTGTAGCAAACAGCACATTCCATAGAAAACACAGACAGTTCATAGGAGGTTTTTGTCCCTTCGTGATTTTATTAGACCCTCCTGATTCAATTACAAAACACAGTCGTACTCTTTTATAAGGTGGCACAAACACCATACAATTTCAAGAACCATCTTCAAGAACCTGTAAATGCATTCTCTGCTGTACACAACATTACTCACCCGTTAACAGCAATGGCTGCTCAAGAGCAGTACAGAACCACAGTACTGATTTGCTGCTGCTCGTGTGCATTAACCACACTCTTCTCTTTGTATCATTACCAAGTATGGATAAGTAGAATGGAATTTTTTCTCATTTATATGTATCTATTCCTAAAATATCTAACTGAATTAGTCTGAACTTTCCTTGTGCATCTTTTTTTCCTGAATGTGAACTGTATTTTCTAAGAAAATTATTGTAAATAAAGTTAAATAAATAATTCAATTAAAAAACTGTATTTCCAATTTTCAAGTATAGCACTGCTCTAATAAAATAGTGACATAAAACCACATGGTTGGTTAATCTGTGACACAAAATAAAAGGCCAACTGAGTGGCAAGCCAGAACTGTCATCAAGAATTAGGGCATACAACCCTAATGTGATTTGAAATTCAGATTTATATTAGGCCTCATTAAGCAGTTTAGAGAAATTCATAAATCTTTTTATGGGGTCATTTTTTTCCTAATTACCTCTACAGAATGATGTACATAAATACATAAAGAAATTAAAATACCATATTTCTAAATGATTAAATATTTTAATAATTCATTTCTTTTACCAAGTCCTATAATCCCTCAGCTAAAAAACTGGATAAGGCAAATTTCACAGTTTAATAAGAAAACCAAAATAATAATAAGAGTCTAGTAGGTATGTTGAGTGTTGCTTCCACAATAATTTCAAAGAACCTAGTACCAAATACAGAGTTGCCATTTGCCTTTTTAGGTATGGGTTACATTTATAGTTTAATTTTACAGGTTGTAATTTAAGGACAGATTTATTTATTTTATGTAGGTTCTTTTCAGTTAATTTTTCCAAGTCCTTGCCTTCTACAATACCTGTCAACTCCTCAGCTCCTTAACTTAAGGTTTAAGCTGAGACCTGGATACAACACAGCAGCAAAACATGCACACTTGCAAAATGCTTATGGCTTACCAGTAGACCCTCATTAATGGCGACAATTTCATTTGTTCGTTAATTCCAAAGAGCCACACAGACATTCTTTGCCAACCTAGGATTAGCTGACAGTGGTTTATTCATCTACATTAATTTTATGCTTAATATTTTTTTATTAACTATTAAGGTCCAAACATGTCAGATTTTTTTTCTATTAATTTACTGAGATAAAATTACTTTTTAAATTATTTTTTTAATACACCTTTGGGAAAGTAATGCATAGCCTTTATATTCACCAAGAGATTTCGTGCTGTGAGGCCAAGCAGAATGCCATCTTAACAAGCACAGCATAATTCTTCTGCTCCTGGACATCTTTATAGCCGCTGCCCTGCACTGAGCAAATTCAACAATTTTAGAAATCGCAGACATTTCCATTACATCCATACTGATAAAAAAAATACTGTGCATGCTTTCATTTTACAAAACGCAGAAAAGACTCAATGGAACAGAAGAGCTTAATGGCCTCAAGTAAAAGCGAAGGCATTTGGATATTGAATATAGGATAACACCCTAAGTGAGCATAAATACACTTAGATAGGATTTTCAAGTATTAAAAGCTAAGACAGTGATTCTATAAATAGCCACTGATAAAAGTAGAGCTTAAAAGGACGCTGATTGCTCCTTGCTTCACTAACTTTAAACAGTAATAGGAAAGAAATTTGAACAGCTTCCCCTTTATGATGAGAACGGTAACTTTAGAGGTCTGTACATATGTGGACAGGTCAACTT